TAGAGCAGGAAGAGATGGAAAGCAGAGCGATTGTATTTTGTATTTTAGTCATGCCGATCGTTTTCGACTTCTTCGTATGGTATCTGACTCTGAAGGGAATCAGGAACAGGCTTTAAGGAATGAACAAGGCGTTGCCAAGATGGCATCTTATTGTTTGAATGATGTAGAATGTCGGAGACAACTTTTATTGGCTTATTTTAATGAAAGTTTTGATCCTATTCACTGCAATCCTCCTTGTGATAATTGCACTCATACTGGTAAGTTTGTAACTTGTTTTAGGATCTTTATAAACGACTCCTTTAGAACCGGCGATAGAAATGGATTTCACGGAACATGCGCTTGGTTTAGTGGAAACCTGTCAAAGTATTCAAGAGGAAGATGATAAAGGTCCAAGTGCACAATACTTGATCAAGGTTTATCGTGGATCGCACTCAGGACTGAAGGCAGGACACTCCAGTTTAATGAGTTTTGGTAAAGGTAAAGAAATGAAAGAAGCCACTTGTCATCGTTTGATTGAAGACCTCATTTCTTGTCAAATATTTCGAGTACATACAGAAATGGGTCCTTATGGTCAAGTCATGGCCACATTGCGAGTGAACAAGTCAAGCTCTCATTATACTTCTCTTTATCATGGACAACGCCGTTTTTGTTTAAAAACAAGAGCAAAGAATGGTTGGTCCAAACCTGTTGAAGAGAATCGTTCTAAAAAGAAGGCTTCCATGATAGAAGACCGTATTCAATCTTGTGAGCAAGTCGCAGACTGCAATTCTAGTCTAGTATCGGAACAATTGGTGGAACACTTGTTGGCTTGTAGGAAGAAATGGTTACAACGTCTGCCGAATACAGAAAGTACTCCGCTAACTTGTGTATTGACATCTGCGGAAGCGTACAAAATTGCTTCAGCTTTTCCAATTGATATGTCTACTTTGCGCAATTGTTTATCACGAAGATTCGCTTTGGAACATTTTGCCAACGATATCTTAGACACTGTAGCTCAATATTATCCACAACAGTAAGTTGCTTTGGGTTTCACAAGGTAAATTTATGACAATCAATATAGGCAAAAAAAGAAACGGAATAACCCAAACAATCATCATGCTACTACCTCTTCCAAAAGAAAGCTGCGTAAGAATATTGCAGTTAAAGTATAACCCAAAAATGATGTATACTACTACTTCCATCGCTTTGTATCATACAACTTTTTCTTTCCGGCTGCAATATTCGAACCACCAAAAGCTTTCTTCCTCTTTTCCACATTCCCCAGCACTTCATCTGTTGTCACCATCTCCGGAGCACTCTTGATTTCAGTCACTCCTTGAATAAACCGCCTTTCCAACCTTTCTTTGAAGTCTTCATTGTGATCCAAGTAGTAACGATAGTCTCCATTGTAGAAGACTACTTGCTCATTCTCTATAGATAGTATTTGTTTTGCTACTCGAGAAACAAAATAACGATCATGAGAAACCAAAATGAGAGTTCCATCATACAACTGAAGTGCTTCCTCCAGAGTTTCTTTGGCTCCAATATCAATATGATTCGATGGCTCATCTAAAACAAGCAAATTAACCGGTGAAACAAGAATCTTGCACAGTGCAAGACGGGCTTTCTCTCCACCACTAAGACTGGCTACCGACTTGTATACAGAGTCTCCTTTGAATAGGAAACGTCCCAACAATGCACGAATTTCTTCGTAGCTCTTACTGGTCCCAGCTGCCTGTTCTATTGTTTCATAAACCTACAAAGATAAGAGCAACTATAGCACTCGCCAATCTGTTTACTTACTGTTTTGTCCAATGGTAAAACATCCGCCTGACTCTGTTCAAAATAACCTGTCACAAGATTATGACTTGTTACCATAATCTCACCTTGGTTAGGCTTCTCTTGTCCAGTGATGAGTCTCAACAGAGTACTTTTACCACTTCCATTGGGACCAACGATGGCCAGACGATCTCCTCTTTCGACCAACAGATTGACATTTCGAAACAAGACACGATCACCATAACCATGTGTCACGTTTCTAAATTCTACAACATCATTTCCAGAACGAGGTGCTGAAGGGAACCGAAGCACTAATGGTTTTCCTGGTCTCGGAGGTCTTGGAACCAATTCACCTTTCAATTGCATATTTTGTAATAATTTCTCTCTTGACTTTACTTGTGATGCTCTCGTAGCTGATGACTGAAACCTTCGAATAAAAGAATACTGTTCCTCCAAAAACTTTTGTTGACGTTGATAAGCTGCTTCCCATGCCGTTCTCATATCTTCCTTTTGTCGAAGATATGATGTGTAGTTACCAACAAACTCATGTGTTTCTCCATTCTCAACTTCCACAATTCTGTTTGCAACTCGATCTAAAAACTCTCGATCATGAGACACAAGAACAAGGGCAATATTGCAAGAAGATAAATATTCTTCAAGCCATTCTAAGCTTTCTATATCCAACTAGTTCGACTAGGTTAGTATCTATTCTATTTCCAACCATAGCAACTTACGTGATTGGTTGGTTCGTCCAATAACAGCACATCTGGTTTCTTCAGTAAGACTTTGCCCAGTCCTATGCGAACTTTCCAACCACCAGAGAAACTGGAAACAGGCTTCCATGTATCTTCGGGAAGAAACCCTAATTGAGGCAGAAGTCTTTCAATTCTGTTTTCTAGATTCCAGACATCGCTATCTTCACACTGGGTTCTATAACTTTCCAATTGGTTCAATAATTCTTCCACATATTCCAAGTTGTTTCCTTCGGTACCCATATTGGCAATTTTGTCTTCCAACTGTCGGTATTCTTGTAGCATTTTGTTTTCTTCTTCAAATACAGACAACAGTTCTTCCTTCAAAGTTCTTGTTGGACATAGTTCATCGACAAATTCTTGCTTCAAAAAGGCTGTTCTAACTCTTGGTGATGATTTTATAATTTCACCAGAGTCTGGAGTGATTAGACCAGCTAAAATCTTCAACATGGTAGTTTTACCAGAGCCGTTATCACCCACAAGACCTACGCGGTCACCTGATTTTACTTCCCAATTCACACGAGTCAACAGTTTCACACTTCCAAAATACAGTGTGATATCTTGTAGACGTATCCAACTGACCCCTTGAGAGTGCCGAAATCCATCCACGTCGTTTTTCGAAATGCGGTTATAACTAACCTTTACTCTTTGTTTCTGTCTGCCACTTAAAGTGAAGGCTCCTACTTCGGACAAAAACTTTTCATATTCTTGTCTTGTTTCTGGGTCTTGTATCGTCTCTTCTTCTTCTTCTTCTTTGTCAAGTCTTTTTTGTTGTTGCTTGCTTGCTTGCTTTTTCCTTTTTTCTTCCTTCACTTGGTGCTCCGTTTCTTGTCTAGCCATCGTATTTCTCTGCTCATTTGTAGTTTCCTTTTCTTCCTTACTTGACTTGTTCTTTTTGCTTTCCTTTGATTTGTGAATATTTTCCAACGCTTGTTTTAAAAGTTCTTCTTGAGACAATCCAGCGGCACCGAAAACATCCACTTCTTGTGGTTGTTGTGTTGATTTTTTCTTAGCCATACATAAAGGTATCCATTTGCTATGTGTTGCTTTGAAACTGTGGCGTCGTCGGTGACAGAGACATTTCTTTCTATGTACAACTACAAGTTGTTGTAGGTGGGTGGTCCCAAGGAAGGCACTGTGCCAGGAAGCATCCATTCCGTCCACAACAATTAGCGACTCATTTTAGCCATTCAAATAAAAAGATCGCTTTTGGAAACCTTATGCACTGTGAATCGTAAGAAAAGGGTTGAGTCAAAACAAATATTTTATTCTACTACTGAAAAGATGGAATCAAACGAGGCGTTGTTCAGATTCGCTTTTCACTCTTCAGAAAGAAAAAAAGATAGCCTCTATCAACCTTGAGGGCTACATATTCTTTCAGAGTGAGCTGAGAATATTCATCATCACAACGCGTTAAAGTTACTGCAGATGGTGGCATCAATAAGGTCGTCATCGCTGACGATTTCCTTAACCATCTTCTCTCCCCTTCTCCTCTTTTTGCCAGAACAGTATCATTTGCGCAAGTATAGAGGAATGAATGGATATGGGATATGTGATAGTTGCTGCAGCAATCTATCTATTGGTTGTAAAGAACTATTGAAGTAATATCATAACTTTGACCAACAACACAACGACGATGATGGATTCATCAAAAGTAATTGATTTTATAAATAATAAGCCATGCCAAGTTGTTACAATGCGTTGCCAGCCTTTGGTATGGTGATCCATTTCAAGTTGTTACGAAGAACAACAAGTTTTGTAAACCCCAATAAAAAACTAGGAATTCATTGGGTTGTGAAGATACAGAACAAAACACTCCACATCACGTCTTGTCAACAAAGTAGACCAGATAGAAATAGGAGCTTATTGGCAAAGCAAAGTCTCGGACAAAACTTTTTGTATGACGATAATTATATACACAGAATATGTAACCAAGTTGACTTTGACGTAGAAAATGGGGGAAAGAGAGTGGTAGAGGTAGGAACGACAACAATATTTGTACTGATATGCTGTCGAAAACAACAACTTTCTAGGTTGGTCCAGGTTTAGGAGCACTAACAAGAGTACTACACGAGAAATACCCAAATATGACGACAATTGAAATTGATACAAGAGCTGTAGACCATTTACACTCCAAATTTCCACAACTAAAGGTATTACATCAAGATGTGCTATGTACGGATTGGAAAGCACTTGCTCAATCTCTGGGAGGACCTTTGGCAGTCATCGGTAATCTACCTTATAATATAACTACACCAGTAAGAGTGTCCTTGTTTTTTTCTCTTTCGTTGAATTGATCTTGGAGTAGATTCTGTTTTCACTCATCAAGAATAGTTGTCACGTCGACCACGCTATCTTAACTATGCAGTTGGAAGTAGCTCGTCGAATTACCGCTAAACCTAGGTCAAAAGACTTTGGAGTACTTAGCGTATTTTCACAGCTCCATAGTCGGCCTTCTCTGTTGTTCCACTTACCGCCTTCTGTATTTCGGCCAATACCACAAGTCACTTCAGCTCTAGTGCGGTTAGATTTTAAACCAAAAAGAGCAACGGAGCTTTTGAAATATGTATCTATGGAGGAATTGACACAAGTAGTTCGTACAGCATTTCAACAACGAAGAAAACGAATGAGCAACAGTTTGAAAAGTTTGACTAATCGCTTACAAAAAGAGTTGCCGGAAGATCTGAAAGGTCGACGTGCAGAAGAGTTGAAGCCTGAAGACTTTGTTCAACTAACGGAATACTTGTTTGGTCGAAGAGCTGAGATAAGTGAATAGGAGCTATGAAACAGTTATTGAAAACTATGTAATTGTATCATAAAAGCCATATAATAGCTTTTAAAATAGCCATTTTTGTTTCGTTGCGATATAAAACACTGCTGGATAATCATAGAGAGTGAAATTTCCAATGAGGAGTAACTTCACTTTGAGCCAAGGCAAACAACAAACGGAAAGCTATTCTCAGTTCTTGCAAGGCACCAGTGTAGGGATCACTTTGCTCATGAATATATTCATAATTATCCAATACCTAACTTTAGAGTCACATGTAAAACAAAGGAACTTGAAACAGTGATATACCTGATGATATCGATTCTTCAAGTACTCACCAACGACACGATTAAAGTAGTCTTCATTCTCGTGACCTTGAAATATTTTTCCATGAGTAAGCTTCAGACTGGGCACTCCCCTTTGAAGAAATGGAAACTGATCACTGCGATACAAATGACCCAAATGAGGTTCTGGATCATCACCAACAGTGAGATTTTCTAATGTAGTGACCTAATCAAAGTATGTACAAATATCCTCACTTGTGTGTTACAAAATACCTCTCGAAACAAGTCTCCCAAGTCGCTCAATGAGTAGCCAAGAGCAACTGCATCTCTTGTGCGACCCCACACATTCATACCATCAAAGTTGATACAAGCAACTGTCTGATTCAAAGGTAAAATGGGATGGTCCACATAATAGGATGAACCAAGTAAAACAGCTTCTTCCGCAGTAGGACTCAAAAACAAAATGGAGCGTTTACAACATTTTCCTATGTGTTTCAAAAATCCAAATGTTCTCGCTAAAACTAAAAGTTTGGCAACTCCTGAAGCATTATCCAAGGCTCCATGATAAATACAATTGCTACTTGAATGACAGTCATTGTTTATCTTCCCCAAATGATCATAATGTGAAGTGACAACAATCAAAGAATCAGTTGATGCATCCAGAAACTCCTTGGTACTACTTTGTACAAGTGCTCCAACATTCAACCCGTTCAACGTTCTCCTTTTCACTTGAAACTGAGCATAAAAACTCAAGTCAAACAAGTCCTCATTACATAGGAATCCTTTCGTTTCGGCATAGTTTTTCAAATCCTCAGTATACGGGATGATTCCTTTCTCAGCTAAGTTGTCCCAAGCAACAGAGGACAACCATCCATAGACAAGCAATGGTGAAGCATTCTTCTCTAAATAACGCAACCTATTTTGAACATCGTATATTACAAATAAAATATTTTTCGCAAAACACATTTCTTGCCTAATACTTTCACTTTGGGAATTACTACGAATGACATTCCAACCATAACCAGCAGACTCTGCAGTATGCAGTAATAACACGCCTAAGGCACCTCTTCTTCGTAATTCTTCCAGTTTATAACTCCATCTTCCGTAATATGTTAGTCTATCTTCTATGTTGAAAAAGTAGGAAGGTTGGTTGACTAAACAAAGAATTATTCTATTCTTCACTGAAACGTTGCCAAAATCGTCCCAAAAAAAGGGAGCCTTCGGTGCATAAATACAATAACCTCCAAACATGAGCTTGGAACCCGTCAAATCAACTATGTTACTGTCGCTTAGATCGGTTGTCAGCGAACAAGACTCTCCTTGAATAAGACTGACCGAATTGTTCTTCAAATCTTTCAAATATGAAACGAACGAGGCATTCTCTACTTGGACACCTTCCAAAGGAACTTGTTGATAAAAAGAATTTTGGGTATTCTTCGAAGGATCCGAAAACGCTCCCTCTAAAAGTGCATCTTCAAAGGCGCCAGCAATAAAACGAGCACTCTTTCTTTCACCTTGAGTTCCAACACCTCTACCTTCCATTTTATCACTAGAAAGTGTCTTTATATCTTGATCAAGGAAAAGTTTTGCAAAGGACTCCAACTGTTCCAACGATTCTACGTCGGGCTGTGGCCAAAAGTTTGCAAATAACCAATCTTTGTTGGTAACTGTGTGTCTTTCTAGTTTTACACATTTCCAAAAAAAGGTTATCACAAGGAATCCAAATAATAAGACACTGGAGGAGGCAGCCACTCGTAAAGTCCGTCTGGTACAAGAGTAGCGAGAATAATAAACCAAAAAAGGGTTCCTAAGACTTGTTCTAGTTCCATCACATACAGTAGCGACTCTTTGAATAGTTTTCCTAACAAACATATTTTTCTTTCCAAGTCGCAATAGTAATCAAAGGAATATCACTCATTTCACTCTATGCAAAGGACACAACTTTTAAGATGATGTACAGAGAAATATATACAGTTGAAAATTATTTATCAAGTCAACTCAGTGAATTCGCTTCACTTTCTTCAAATCACCACGAAGTCTAAATGATGCATCCTCCGTATTCTATCCACCATACAAACATACACATACATATACATATATATCAACGGTACATAACAATTACAAATGATACGTACAACTACAAGTTCGTCAATGACTTGTTCTTGATATTTCATTTCTTCATTCATTCGAATAGCAATATCTTTCATATCACTCAACGCCATGCTTATTCTATCCAGCTCCAAGTCTTGCTTATCAAGATACTATAATGAAGTTGTCAGATGTTGAAATTGCACAAAGAATGGTAATAACAAAACTTACACTCTCAATACTTGGCGCAAAATCGTCGTCATCTTCTCCCTCTTCATTGCCATTACCTGTGGAAGAAGTTCCGTTTGACTTGGAACTCTTCTTGGAGGTACTTTTTGCTTTGAGAAGTGCATCTCTCTGTTTTTCAGGGTCTTCGACTGCATTCTTTATCACATTCTCGTTCCATTGAATATTACCTGTACCGGTAGCTGTTGTTTCAACGTTCTTTTGTGAAACTTTCTCCTTATGATTTTCCGTCTTTTTTGAGTCAGATAAAGAGTTGCTTTTAAATTTTTGAGTCAGTTTTGAAACCATTCCTTTGAACTTTCCCTTGTCTGAACTTTTCTCAGGGCTTTTGGTCGCATTCGCTTCGTCCGCGTCTTTCTTCTGTCTCAAAGCAATTTGAGGGTCCTTTGGAATAGCGGCTGTACTGCTTTTTCCTTTCTTCATGGCAGACAAATCAACACCACCGACTCCTCTTCTGGCTGCTTCACTGTCTCTTTCGACAGTCTATCCACACAAGAAGGTTTATCATCAAACACGCACACAGTAAAATAAAAACTTACAGCACTTCCAGCTCTTTCATAAGCAGAAAAAGGCTTCCTAAATGGAATAACGTCTCCCCAAAAGCCACCCTGTAACTCATAAGTAACAGCTTCCGCGTCTCCCAAGTTGGAGTGAATATTTTCCACATCGTTTTGAGCGTTTTCAAGTTGTTCTAAACAAAGTGTCAACCAACAATACAACAAGTGTCCTAATTGACACACCCGTTTGTTTTCCAAGTTGTTGCGCAGTCTCTATACCGATATATCTCGCTTCTTCTGCCATTTTGCGTGCATGACGGGCACTTTCTGCACCTTCCTTGGCACTAGTCTTTGCCTTGTTCTTCATTTCTTGCACTGTATAAGAAGAACCTGTTTGTTCGTCCCTTTCTCCTGGAGGTAGTTCGGAAGCTTGCCTTTGCCTCCGTTCCCTTTCTAGTGCATCTTCTACAATTCTGTCAGCTTCTTCTCCATCTTCCTGTGTCTCCTCTGTTTTTTTCCGTGGAGCTCTCCATCTTCCTCCTGCCTTGGTTTTGGCAGACCCAAGAAGCTCTTGATATTGTTCAGCAAAAGAAGACATGTTTTACAACAAGTTGGCTCAAATTGACTTGATTGTCCATTTCTTCAATGAAAATGGAACTGTTTTGTTGCATAAAATCGAGGCTTTATGCTCTATAAGGAATATTTATTCTTTACAGACAGAAGAAGGAGGAGGAGAAGATCAACAACATTACAAATAAAAATCCAAACATGAGAGGATTGCAACAAACGATATTCTAATAAGCTAACTTTGAAAAGCCTGCTAAAGATGAAAGCCATAGATAGATACGGTTGTTGTCCTCAAAATAATCGTCCGATGACTGCAAAACTCTTTGTTTTCAGAAGATTGTCGATCCTAATCCAGGTTATTGGGACTTTTCAACTTTGAAGCGTCATTCTTTCTGTCAAGATATCACAACACTTCTCAAAAACATGCGATTCCAAAGATAGGACATATACAGTCCATCCACGAGAGTAGCTTTTCTCTAGTTTTGAACAATGGATACAACGTCATCGTTCATTATTAATAGTACAAGTCTATAATATTCTCTATACAATATTATAGTTAAGATAGAAGACAATCAAAGCAACTATTCCTGCATTTCTTCCTTACACATCATCTCAAGCAACGAGTCTATGTTTCATAACAATCTGGAAAGTAGATGTTTCAAAAAATTGATTCACTCTGTTCAACCTTACTTTGTGTGACTTTACTACCACAAGATAGGTATCTGTGCACTTTATTAGAAAAGTATCTCATAACCCTACATGAGAAAAAGAGTGTAGATAATCGCAAAACATACAGCAAGTTTTTATCGATGTGATCAGTCGACAAAACTTTTGTTTCTTCTGATACATATATAATGGAGGTTTGTATTTTATTCAGAACCAATACTGAACAGAATCGATTGGCTCAAGTTGGAAAGATTTGACGTTGGAAGCCATTCCATACGACCCATGAAATTTGCATTGGATTCTGTGGAAGCAAAAACCAAAATGATAGTGCATATGTGTGGTGCTCAATTCTTCTTCTGCTGAGATCCTGTGTAAGGGAAACAGGATAACACAAAGTGAACAAGATTATATATGTGAAGTGTAGATTTTACTGCGTACTACTAGTGACTGTATATTGTATGGAAGAGGAACGAAAACAAAAAAAGGGAACTGGCACTTCGGTTTCAAAGACCAGAGCTGTTCAAGAACAAAAGCGTAAACAACAGAAAGAGCTGGAAGTTACACAAGAAAGTGTAAACAAAGAGAAGAAAACAGAAGGTCAACGAAATTGTGAGCACAACGACTTGGAGGACCACTTGTTGGATGAAGAAAGCAACCTGATTCCAGGACGAAGGAAAGACGGCCAAGTTGAAAACAAACAACAGAAACCAGCGAGAGTGGAAGAGACAGCGGAAGAAGAAGATAGAAACTTGAAGCACCAGACACAACCAACGAGTAGCGAAGAAGAAAAGAGAAAAGATTTGGTTTCTGAAAATGGACAGTTGAAAGCGGAACTGCAGAACGTTCGAAGGGAATATAGGGAAGTACGGCAACGCTATGACAAACTGAAACAACGTTTAAGAAATGAGCGTAAAGTTTTGAGAAAATATAGGCGTTTGTTGATTGGCGCTTTTGAAACGGAGAATTTAGCAGTGTTTCGAGAGGAGAGTTCTGGAGACCCACAGAGTCTTTCTGCTCCCTCAGAGTCACCTCTTGAAGAAGCCAACAGTGAGAAGCGACGATATGACTTGGATGACTTTGCCACGGTTGACCCTCTGAGAACAGATGTAGAATTGGAGAGAGAAAAAGAACTTGATCCTTTTGAAGATAATATGGACCACCAACAGTCCCCAGATGACTCGTTAAACTATGAATCAGAGAAACAATATAGGGAGATTGACAAGGGTGTAGATTTGGGTCCAGCAAGTGCTTCTGCAGCAGCAGCAGCAGCAGCAACAACAACAACAACAGCTGGTCATGGTCAAGGAACTGCAGCAGCAGCGTCTGCAGCAGCTGTAGCGTCTTGTTCAGTTGAACAATCTGCGGATAACATTAAAAATAAGAGGAAGAGAGACTTTGTATCCTCGAAAGATTCTAGTTGGTCATCGGAATCTCAGTCTTCATCTTCCACTACATCCAAAGTTGGGTTAGAGACTTATCAGCCAGAAGAAGAAAATGACAAGGAAGAAGAAGAAACTCCAAGTGTGAATTGGGAAGGTGACCCTTCCCGTTCCTCTTATGCTGGAAATGAAGGAGTTGAATCTAAGCGCGGCAGACACTCTATATGGAAACCCGAAGAAGAACGCCTTTTTGACGAAGGCTTTCATCGCTATGGCTGTCGTTGGAAGCTGATTCAGGAAAATCTTCTTCCAAATAAATCTAGACAGCAGATACAAAGTCACGGTACATATCTTTTACGTCAAGGAAGGCTAAGAAAGCATCAGGGTGGAAGACACAAGAAAACTAGTCGAGACGAAACTAAAAAAGATGACAAAAAATACTCTAGAAACGAAAAAACTATGGCAAAGAGCGCAGATGACGAAAGCTCTAGGCCTGTTCGACAATATGACGTGGAGAATGTTGCTTAGAAATCTGTGTTCGCTGTATGAACTTGTTCTTAAGAGGATACTCTAACCGCACTTGTATTGGAAGGTTTACTTTTATCAAATATAAACTCTTGCAGCAAGTTATCTATCAAATATTTTCTTCTTATTTAAAACCCAACCAGTACGGCTATTCTGTTGCTTGTTCAGGGTTTCCACGATTGGGAACGAAACCTCGGTCTATGTATACTTTTGCTCTTCCAGGTACTGGTGGGAGACTTTCTGCAGAAGGATCAAACACCTAAAACACGTTCATAAGATAACTTTACGATTTGTGTAAGTTTCCATTACTTTTACTGGCTCCACTTGTTCTCTTTGAATTTTCCTTCGGGTGTCTCTACTGTAGTACTGAATATCAAAAACCTGTTTATAGGGACCTTGAGGTACCAAAGGTTTTGCATTTTCTTGCAAACTACAATAAACAGTGAGGTTACAAGTAAACCCTAACACACCAACAAAACTTACTGGGTATGAAACCGAGGGTTTTTCACTTCGGAGAAACGTTGAACATAGTCTGGAAGGTCAGGACGAAATATTTTCCCAGTTCGCACTCGATAGACAATGTCTTGTACAATTGCTTTTATGGAAAAGGACCGCTTGAAAGGAATACTTTGGACAAGTGTAAGTTTGCTCTTGACAGCCATTCTCTTCCCAACGAAATTGAATTCCAATGAATGAAACTCAGCTTTGAAATACTATCATGGACTAGCGTTTATTGGATAGATAAAAAAGAGTCAAACATCCTTTCGTTTTCTATTAGAATATCACTGAAAGTAGGAAGAATAGAAAATTCCTTTCATCTTTGATATCTAGAACATCCACTTGTATTGGAATGAAACAGAAAGAAAGATGTATGCTTTTAACGAGATTCTCCAAGAAAGGAAATTCGGTTGCAATCATCCTATAAGCCAACAATAAAAACCAGAAACTAATTGTAAGGACAAAATATGATGGAAATCAAAAGGTAGCGCTACGGTTTCCCAGTTTCAATCTCACTGAACTAAATGTAGAATTATTCTTATTCTTCTTTCCATTTTTAGGAATCTTTGATTCCTTGTTGTTCAAATGTTCTGAATCAACATTTTCCCTTGCTTCATTTGATATTTTTTGGAAAAATGGTGTAAGATCCGGTTCCTTTGTTGATACATGGAAATTTTTCTTTTTCTTTTTGGATTTCTTTGTTCGTCTCTTTCTCGATGACATGCCTTGCGGAACTAAAATCATCACGTTGTCATCTGCATCATGTCGTAATTGTTCCTCTTCTTTCTTCTTATAATTGTTGCTGTTGTCGTCGTCATCTGCGTCTGACAAAATTTCTTCTTGTCTGGGAACTTGTTCAACATCTTTCACGAAAGGTCCTTCACGGAAACGACTTGATATCTGCTGCAACATTTCCTGACGTATCTCATCTACTTTGTCCTTTCTTACAGACAAATCACTTCTTTTCTTTCCAACCGATAAAGTGGAACCAAATAAGCTACTATTAGAGGAAACCGATATAGGAGGCACAAGATTACTTTGAAATCCAACAATATGGCTAGGAGTGGAGGCATACTCTTCCATTTGCCCATTTGTACAACACATTGTTATTTCTTGCTCCGACTTATTCCATTCGCTTTCTTCCATGATGGATTCCTGTAAAAGTTTCAAAACTTCATTCTCATATGTCTTGAGTAAAGGTGGAATCGAATAAGGACAACAACCACGTAACTCGCTTTCACTTTGAGGTATACGTTTTGCAATTTCAATCATACACTTCTCGGGCAAAACATAAACGAGGCTTTCATCTTCTATCCGAGCAATCTCGTCTCTCCATCGACAGAGTGTGCGTAAAGCAAGAGTTTGCTTTTCATCGAAATGCAACTTTCTTCGAGAAAGGATCGACTGATATTCCAGTGGATTCATTTGAGGTTTCTCATAAATCAACATAGAGACTTGGATAGAAGCACGATAAGCACAAGTCAATAGATTGTTATTACAATTAGAAGACTGTCTCAGTTCTTCACAAAGTCTGTCATATATGTATAATAGATAATGAGTATCTTGTCTCGCATATGAAAACATATCTTCCGGTAAAGGCCGAATGCGCCAATCTGCCAACTGATAATATTTTTTGGTTTTCGAGTTATCAATATTGCAATAACGTTTCAACAGATAAGACAAGGAAAGAAATGGAAATTTCAGCTGTCTACTTGCTTGACCTGTGTCAAACATATGAACAATATACAAACCAAAATCCCGTTGTAACCATTGCACATCGCTATCAGCTCCATGAAGAACTTTGAGAATATTTCCATTTTCTAAAATCTTTGATAACATTTTAAGATGACCTCGAAGCTCAATTGCATCCACGACAAAGTCTTCTTGACGAGTAGAAAACTGTAATAAACAAATGAAACCTTGAAACGAACGATAGCTATGATTCTCAATATCCACAGCTATTTCCTTTTCCTTTTCAAGCTTGGTTATCATGTCTTCTAGTGACGACAGAGAGTTTACAAAGGTACATTTGGTATCCTCCAAAGGTAAATACAATGTCACCGTAGAAGACCCTAAATATCGCAACTAAGAACAACCAGTAGAAAACTGTTTTGACATACCTTGAAAGGAATCAGCATTATTTTTCAACTCTTTCAATAGTTTTTGATAGTAATCAGAGACTTTGGCAGAACTGTGTTTTCTATTCTTTTGATGCAACTTAAACAAGTGACTGTCTAACCTTGAAAACGCGTCACTTTCGTTGGTGGAGAATTCTGAGGGAGTAGCAACTACATTTGGGTCTGTCAAAAGGTTATTGATTGGATAATCTGGAAATTTCTTTTGAGGTTTAGGCATATCTGTTTGTTTCCATCTAGTTCTCCTCTCATCGCTCGAAAGTGGAGTTGACGACTGCAGTGAATCTTCTTCACTGGTTTTCTTAATACCCCTAAGTGCATCTAGACAGTCATCTGTCTGTTCCAGGAAAAATTCCACAGCTTCTTGTGTATTTTCAAAAATGGTCTCCAAGTCTGTTTCGGTGTCGAACCCCTGACTGTTTGTGTTCTGAGAGACTATTTGCCCCAAACAAGTCTTCAAGAGATGGTCCACAGACTGTAGCTTTTCACTATAGGGTTGACAAGTCTTTTCATAAAAATCGAGTTCATCTTTCAGTGGCAACTGATTAAAGCAGTTTACAGCTGCACGAAAAGGTTTTAAAACAGGATCATTATGCGTCATCCTCCGCTCGACAATCAATGGGAATATTATTTATCGACCGGTGATTCATTTGAAAAGTTGCAAAGTTATCGTTTATTTGTCGTTCTAGTTGGTTTTCAAGTGCCAAGTTTACAAGTAGAGATGGTGCACTATTCTTCGAGACGATGTTCTAGTTGAAATAACTGTCTATTCGTTTTCAACCCTCCTTTCAAATCTAGTTTCACTTTATGCTGAAAAAGGAATCCTTCCATAATATGTATGTTCTTTTACACGAAATTTTCAAACTTTTCTGAAAATAACGGGACTTACAGCTCGTCTTGTCAAGAAACTGTAGGGAAAGCAGCATTTGTGGTGCATAATCCACATATAATTCAAAGTGAATTTGTTTTCTTTCAGTAGTGGAGATTGTCCAACCATCATTGTCTCATGAGTTTCTACAGCATCCACTATGCTTTCTGTAACAACAACAGTATATTTAGTTGGAAAAAGCACTACTCTCATTTTCTTCGTGGCATAAGTTGTCCGAAAGACTGTTATCTCGTTCAAAGTCCGAAAAAGCACTGTGCTTTGACTCTACTTGCTCAAAGTGACGATGGAGCAGTGGGAGGTGATGCCAGTAGAGGTTATACAAGACGTCTCAGTGACGCTTTGAGAGAAAGAGATATAGAAGCAAAGAAAGAAAGGGAAGAGAATGAAAGAAGAAAAGAAGAACAAGAGAGAGCCCGCATGGAGAAGGAAAGGAAAAAGCATTTGTTGAAAGAAATACCAGACGAAACACAAGCAGGAACAGTGGACGAGTATATGTACAAGGAAGGAGTATCTGAAGTTTTGGATAGTCTTGACGTGGATCTCATCGGTTTACTCCCTGTGAAAAGAAGAGTTCGTGAAATTGCTGCATTGTTAGTGATAGACAAACTTCGAGCAAAAATTGGTTTGGATACTGCCGTTCCTTCTCTTCACATGTGTTTCACAGGATCACCTGGAACTGGTAAAACAACAGTATGTATCAGTATCTTGATATATTCAATATTGATATTTGGCTAGGTAGCTATGAGAATGGGACAGATTTTGAAGAAGATGGGATATTGTCGTCAAGGACACTTAGTAGTTGCAACTCGTGATGACTTGGTTGGACAATATGTAGGACACACTGCACCAAAGACAAAGGAAGTTATCAAAAAGGCAATGGGTGGAGTGCTTCTAATCGATGAAGCTTATTATTTGTATAATGCTGCTAATGAAAAGGATTATGGAGTCGAATCCATCGAAATATTATTAAATATCATGGAAAATAACAAAGATGATTTAGTAGTCGTACTTGCAGGTTACGAGGATAAGATGAACAAGTTTTTCTCTTATATTCCTGGAATGAAGTCTAGAATTGGTAACCACATTACTTTTCCTGACTATGAAGTTGACGAATTGGTAGAGATTGCAAAGGTGAGAGAGAGAGAGATAGAACTAGAATGTTTCGTTGTAATCTTAAAGATTGATATATTTTGATATAGCTCATGTGTAAGGGTCTCTTTTATGATATTGAGCCGGATGCAGAAGTTGTTCTTAAGGAATATCTTCGTAAACGAATGGCGATGCCGTATTTCTCGAATGCTCGAACAGTTAGAAATGCCGTGGATCGTGCTCGTATGAGAGCTGCAGTTCGAATATTTAACGAGAAAATAGCTTCTTCTTCAGATGGCAAGTATTGTATTTATTGCCAAGGAGAATAGAAATTTGATTATGTATATTTGTAATAGGTTTGGTTTCGAGACGTGAACTTCGAATATTAAAGCCAGAAGACTTTGTTAGTGCTAAGGAATTGGAAGCAAGGGGAGAGACTGCCATAGTTGAGTAAAATAAAGGGAAACTATTGTTAAGGTGTTGATTATTCTTTTTTGTTACTTGTCGCGGCATTTAAAAATCATACGCTCAATAGCTTTTGTTTTGATTGGGAAAGCCTTTGAAAGTCCTCATGTCTAACAAGCCTTACAATATTTTGGCTGAACGACTAGAGTCCACTGATAAAGACTTTCGGTATATGGCAGCTTCGGACTTGCTCAATGAACTCCAAAAGGGTCCTATACAGTTAGACCCCCTCTTGGAAAGCAAGGTATGAAAGGAGTTGTATAAAGTTAATGTTTGTCACTGACAAGTTTGAAAGTTATGTACAGCATTGTTGAAAGCTTTGCAGGACACTTCTTCTGACGTGCAGAGCATTGCTTTAAAAGCTTTGCCCTTGTTGCTAGCACAAAGTGAACTCCACCTATTGGAGACCGTGATAGAAATACTGATTGCAAATCTGCTGCATATTTCGGAAGACTCAAAAAGTAACCATCAAAGAAATACTGTTGTGGCAGCCGCAAAGAATGTTTCGAGAGATAACTGTTTGATTACTCTCAAGTCACTTTTGAACCGTATCGACCCAACCTCCACAGGAGACACTATAATAGGACAAAGAGTTGTTCCTAAACTTTTGTCTAGTGCACGGAATAATTCTTCTCTTGAGGTCAAGTTAGACTGCCTGGATATGTTGTGTGACGTTACTACAAAGTTTTCATTCACTATCGTTCGAGTGGCAGATGAATTTATGGAAAGTTTGTCTGGGCTAGTGAGTTCATCGCATAATATGGTTAGAAAGAGAGCTGTTCATTGTTTGGCTTTATTTCTTTCACGAGCACCCTACAGTTATTTGCAGTCTTTCATGGATTCTTTGTTATTCGAGTTTCGTCAAAATTTGCAAGCGAAACAAGTCAACAAACAAGTGGTTGACACTGTTCGTAATTCTCTCAGTACCATTCAAGCTCTCTTTAAGGTTACAGGGTCTCATGTTTTGTATCCTTATATCGGTACAATTGCAGAGTTGTTATTGAAACTTTTGGACAGTCCATCTTGGATAGAAGATGAAGACTTGTATGAATCTGTACTGCAAATATTCGAGCTGTTTCTTCAAACTGTTCCTATTCAATTGGAGACAATTCAATCTCAGTTAGCAACTGTATTAGAGGCAGCTTTAAGATATGATCCCAATTTAGTGGAACAAGATACAGAGTTTGATGAAGAGTCGGGATCAGAATTGGAAGAAGATGATGACTTTACAGATGACGAAGACTTGAGTTGCAAAGTCCGACGTGTTGCAGCACGTTGTATTCATGCAATATTTTTAGCAAGGTATTAACTTGGTTCGCCTATTTGAAAACGTAGTATTGAATGGCATATGTTAGAAATTTTCACAAGTTATCGTTTCCTTTGGCCCAATTGGCTGATTGCATGATTCAGCGTTTACAAGAGAGAGACGAGCAGGTTATGTTGGAATTATTGAACGGTCTCACTGACTTGTTTAAGACTATTATTCCATGCTTGCCATCAAGTGAAGAGTTGAATTTGGAAAGTTCCATCTATCACCAAGTAATATTGGTCTTGAAGGAAAGAGTAAGTTTTCTTGTTCATTTTCCAACCTTTTGCTCAATAATTCTTTTTTAGAGTTCATTTATTATTTTGAAACTTCAATTAGTATACAAATCTCGTTCGATACCACTAAAAAATGCTGTCCTAGTGTTCATGAAGGAATTCATTGCTATTGCTGCAGTTTGGCTCAGTGAACAGGATTTGATGAATATTTCCCAGTCTTATGTAGAGCCTTGTTTTCTAAAAGAAAACAATGCTTCTGTTCAGTCTGATGGAATCGCCTTGTTGGAACGCTGTGCTCCCTTGTTATGTAGACACAAGTGTCCTCAACATTTAGCAGTATTTTTGAATCATTTGGTAGATATTGGAGCTCAAGGTTATTATCGCATTACTGCACAGTCCCTCCATGCTTGCAAGAGTATCTTTACTGTATTGACTCAAGATGATCTCGCTATTGCAAGTATTAGTGACGCATTGTTGAAAGCACATGATTTTGCAATGTATCGATTGGAAGCTTCTGATCAAGATACTGAAGTGAAGGAGGCAGCAATTGAATGTCTATCTACTCTTTGTGCCTCTTTCCCTGAATTGGTTTCTTTGAAAAGGGACAAGTCGCTTCGTCTAATGTTGGATAAACTTCATGATGATGTAAGTTGAGAATTTTCGTATGTCAGATATTCTCCTTTTAAATTGTTTTAGTTTGTCAGAACAACTGCAATACGTTCATTTTCCAATATATTACAAAGTCCATTGGGAACAAAAATAGATGAACAAGTTCTAATGGAGTTTTGGAAGCGAGTAATTTCTCTTCTTAGGAAGAAAGACGATAAGCTTCGGGAGTCATGTCTAGAGTCCATAAATTGCTCGGTTACGTTGGTTCCTTCACAACTAGACTCATCACTCGTCAGTGAGCTTACAAGTTTGATTCATCGTTCGGAATGGAGGAGAACAGCGATCGTGTTTCAGATTTTCTCGAAGCTTATTGCCTGGAGAGATGAAAATTTCGTATTGCTGTTTAAAGAGGAAACTTATCCAGCTATTATGAATGTATTAGTTTCATCACCTTTGCAAGGGAAACTGAAAGGTTCCATTTCAGAATTATTTCGGACCATTATTTACCGTCGCTCTTCTTATTTCCCAGTAGCGAATATATTCCACGATATATTGGCTTTGGTGAAGAAAGATCCCAAAATGCATTCCTCCGTTATGAAGAATCTTTCTTCTTTAGTGGCCATTTTTTGGAGTGCGAATATAGACATGACCTTTGTGTGTCAAACATTGTTGGAGATACTCCAAAGTCCCCTAGACGATAATAGTAAATCATCGAAGCTATTTGTGTTATTTACACTGAATGAGTTGGGATATATGGATTCTGTAACTGAGCTTGCTTTATCAGATAAAATGGAAGGCACTATATATGAAATGATTCGTTGTGAAGACGAAGAGATCGTTGGTTCAGCTGCTGCTGCTTTGGGTAGTCTGATACGTTTTGTTGATAGTCGTCAAGGCATTTCCAAGTTGGTTTCGTATGTCAACGGCACAGAAACAAGAGGACGTTACGTTTATTTACTTGCTGTGAAAGAAGCAATACTTTGCCAGATACATCTCTCCTCCATGTCACTATTGAATGACATAGATGCCATGACACAATCGTTGATTGCTTGTGTACAAGATGCAGATAATGCATTGCAACCCATGGAAACGAGTAATACTGAAGAAAAGAAATCAATTGAACCATACGCATTATCTTCATCTAGCAAAGAGAGTATACGCAGTATATCTTCTGAATGTTTGGGCACTTTGCTAGCAGTGTCTCCTCTTCGTCTTTTTGCAATAATACAGCAATCATTGACCAGTTCCAATGTACAAGTGAGATGGACTTCATTATTGGCAGTAAAAGCAGCTTTCAATTACTTGGCGAGGACGGACTCATCCCTTGACTTGTTTATACAACATTTACATCCGTACTTGCCTTATTTATTGGATTTATTGCAGGATCCAAATGCAGATGTGGATACTGCAGCCATATCTTTTATCATTACTTGTGCTAGATTGTGTCCTATGCTGTTGAAGGAAAAAGTATCCAATATATTGAATGTTCTATTACTTCATACAGAACCAAGGCCAGACCTCATTAAAACTGTAGATCTTGGTCCATTTAAACATTCAATTGATGAAGGTATTCAGTTGAGAAAGACTGCATTTGAAGCACTACTTGCATTGTTGCCATCGTATTTGGAGAGTTTTCAAAATCCACCTATTCCAGAAAGATTGGTAAACGCTGTAATCAAAGGTCTCAAAGATCATCCAGATGTAAGGGGAATAGTAGAAAAACTACTGATATACCTGCTAAGCAATTATGATGCCTTTCATATCCTGAAAGATGATTCGAAAATATCTAGTCTTGTAGCCGTTTTATCAGACATCGTTTCAAGTAAACCTAAAGAAAATGCAGTTGCGCAAGAGATTGAGAAACACAAGGTAAGCAATAATGGATAGCACGAAACTTTGGTTTTGAGTGTGATGTAGGAACAACTGAGAGGAACCATGCGGGTTATTTATGAAATGGAAAGAATGGAAGCATGCCAACAATTTCCTCAAGTTGTGGAGTTTATTCAACGAATTCACGATAATGAACATCTGCAATCCTTGTATGATGGTATACAGGCTGAAAAAGATATTGCCAAAAGGGACTAGAAAATCGCAAAATAATTATCCATGTTTTATGAAGAATGATTATTTTTCTGACGGTCTTGTTTATCCAATTCTTCATTTTGTTCCTTTAGTTGTTTCAATACTGTTCGAACGTCTTGCACTGGAATCAGGGTTTTCAAAATAGATAAAACATCCAACAGGGAATGGTCATTCTCATCATTCATCCAAGTAGGAATAGGTATTGCATTATAGGGATTCTTTGTATATGCCGTAGGAGAATTGTCCACTATGATGACTTTTTTGATATCCCTCCCCAAGGCCATCAGGTCTTTGTGAAAAGAACAAGTCTCAGGATCATACTCACAACTTTCACGAAACAATCGGTGGGTCTCCGGTATATGTGCAACGCCTGTGGCATCGAACATAAGATCAATAACGGGATCTGCATAAGTTACCATAGATGCCGTGAATATCACTATCTCAAAATGTTTGGTGACCTAACATTAGTATATTCGCTGTCAGTTGTACTAGAATCAAGCCTTCACGTACCTCTTGCAAAAATTCCTTCAGATAAGGTCTCATTTTGACAAATAATTGAAGGTTTGTATTTTCTACTTGCATACTGAGAACAAAGTCACTGGTTTCTCTAGAACCTTCAAAGCCACTATGAACCAAGGTTTCGTCCAAGTCTAATACCAAGGTTTTCTTCTCTTTCATTTCCTCAGTTTGTGGAGGCAACAAGTGGGTGGACTTTCTCTTCTCTGAAGCAACCTCCTCAGTGACTGGATTAAGTTCAAAGTTTCGAACTCGCTTCCTGTAGTGAGGATGAGTAGGAGACGATACCCAAATGTGTTTATCAGTAGCATATTTTGTTTCGTCCTGCCACTCGCTCGGCATAGCGGTAATATAAATACTTGTGCTGTGACCAACTGGATGGGGGGTTGGAATAGTGTCTTCTCTAGTGGAATCACCATCTTGCAGTTCTTCATCAGCCTTACTACATTCTTTTGAGTCTATCCGAAGCTGGAGACTGTCTTTCTGCTTATCCCTTTTGGCCTTGCCTTCATCTTCATAATATTCAATAACGTGAACTCTTCTAGGCTCACCTGCTTTGAGACGAAAGTTAGAATGGCCATCCTTTGCAACCTCTTCCTGAAGCTTTACACCGGAATCATTCTCACTAGAAGTTGAAGAGCAACAAAGTCGAAATAACTTGACTAGAAAGGGAACCGAGGAATCGTCTTTTGAGGAGGACGACAAAGTTTCGTGTTTTCCAGCAACTGGTTTCTTTCCGGAGTTAGATTGTCGTTCCATAGTTCCACGCAATATAATTCTTTTAAATGGATAGCTACAAATAAATAAAGTTTTGTCAAAACAATGCAAAAATGACCAGCACTAGTGCGTAGTCTTCTTCATCCACTTGCACCAAAAATTTGGGTTCCACATTCCTCTCTCTCTCTTTCTCTCTCTCTCTTTCTCTCTCTCTTTTTTCTTTAATAGCTTATCTCATTGTGCATGAGGGTGCGCAGACAATGAGCTGTCGGAAGGTGTGAGTTGCCAAAATAGAATACTATAAAAGTTCTCAACCTGATATTAGGTTGTATTTTTTACTAGTCTGTATAGGATTTTTCTGTTTGGTACAATACTTCAAACTACTGTTTTGTAGCTTTGTTGACTTCCGCCTGTTCCTTTCGCTGCTTCCTTAACGCTCGAATGGTTCCAGTCCTCGCATATTTTTGATTTCGTAAAAACTTGCCATCCACCTAAGAAGAATATCAATTGTTGTCAATATAAACTACAATCACTCAACGAAACGTACTCCCTTTCTTCCTTGATATCTACGTTGTCTAGGTAACTTGATGCCGTTTCGATGAGCCTTATAAGACTGGTTATGATTGGTATGATTTTTACTTTTAGCCATTTTGTCCTTTTGTTCTCAAGCAACAACAACGTGCAATGCTTTCCCCAACTCGAGAAGAATGCAATAAGGACGACGACGAATTTTGTTTGGTAATGTCGTTTACTTGGAATCAATTTGAACGTTGGTTAGAAGCCCATCAAGTAAGTCAATGGAAACAACTATTGTCGTTGGAGCGTTATGATAATAACTACAGAACATTCCTTGCTAAAAAGCCAATCACAAAGGGAAGCATTTTGCTTGAAATACCAGACCCACTATTGATAACTGGTAACAAAGTATGCAAGTGGTTGGAAAGGAACAACTGGATAGGTCATCAACAAATATCAAGTGTTCAAGGAGTTTTATTGGTTTCCATATTTCTTTTTTTTGAATCCAGGCAAAGTGACTCTTTTTGGAAGCCCTATCTACAAGTGCTACCCACTTCGTATGATTTGCTCTTCTTGTATCGAGACGGCCTTTTGTAGGTGTAGAAGCTTGCACAAATACTCAAAAAAAGAAATTTGCTTAAAAAGACCATTTAGATTATCGTATGTTACTGAAGCAGATATCATGCAAATGGTGGAGTCCGTTCGTCGTATATTACGTGACACTTTTCAAACATATGTTATTCCTCATTTCTCTAGTGTTGATGATAGAGATAAGTGGAATGTCTTATTCAAAGAGTTTGTGCGATGGTATTGTGCTGTAGTGAGCCGCATATGTTATTTACCCGATGACATTGCAGGAGCCCTGGTGCCTTTAGGAGATATATTCAATCACGAAGCAGTGGATACTCCTGTGGACATTCTTTATGCTAAATGGGAACGAGGTTATTATGTATTTCGTGCACATCGAAATTTTTCCATCGGAACACAAGTATTCGTATCTTATGGTGCACTTTCTAATACGGAACTTATGATGTATTATGGATTCACATTGAATGATAATCCTTGGGATACTTTGTCTTTTTATCCACATGAACTGGATGAATCTATCAAGTTTTATGAACGGGTAGTTTTAGATAGAGAAGGATTTTCACCCAATCTTCTCATCGCCTTTTGTAACCATTGTGAGGAACGAGATGTGGATAAACTTGTGAATGAAACCAATTGTGCAAGACTTTATGATATCTGTGTGCTTTTGGAGACTCGTGAAACAAATATTCTGATGAAACTGGAGAAAGTTGGAAGCAACCATAGAAGAATTGAATGGTTAAGGTCATGGATTCAAGGTCGCATTGAACTGATAAGAATGGTGAAGGATATGTATAGAAAAATGGATGAATGATCAACTTGTACTCCAAGTTAACTTGTTGACGTTGTCGAAGAGAAATGAGTGCGACAATGAGCGTCGAAATAGGAGTTGGAATCGTTGCATTTCTACACATAAAATTCTTTTTGCCTAAACCCTTCAATGGGACTATTGCTGTTCTAAACTGCAGTGGAGAAAGCTTGTGGAAGCATATTTATGGATGGTAAAGCCAAGGACACGACCAAATATTCCTTTTGAGTTGTTGCAGCAACATTTCGATAAGACGTTGACTAAAGCCTCGTCGGACCTTGGAGTGAGCGTTTCTTACTTAAAGAGTGCTTGTAGGGTTTATGGAATAAAAAGATGGCCTTATCGAAAAATACAGAATCTTAAAACACTTGTACACTTTTTAAAAGAACAAGGACGAGGGAAAGGATCTGTTTCAATTGGCAAGGAAGAAATAGAGAGGTTGAACAACAAAATTAGGTCACTGTTACATTCCCACTTGGAAGAGTGTCAAGCAACCTTGAAGAGTTTGGAGAAAAGTTCTCAGGAAAGAAGCAGTGTTGAGGATTGGATAAAAGGAAAAAAGAGTCAGGAGGAACCTGTTCTTGATGTGCAAGATACTCGTCGTTCAGCTGGGAGTTTTGACCCGAGCGTTGATAATTCCAATGTATTTGGTAGTCAAGAATTGCTAGATTCAAGGATTGGAAGGGAACAAACTTTTGAATTGAGAAACCAACGAGTAGCTGACATAGCCAATTCTCCACAAGTTCGAAGCAATGGACTAAGAAGAAACCCATCTCTAGTTTCCTCCTCATTAACAGAAGCCTATGACTTGGCAACTAATGCTTCGAATATGCTTGAATGGAATCTTCCTGCTTTAGCTATTCATTTGGGTGTGGATGGAATTCGTAATCTGGGACCTTCGAAGCTTGTACAGTTGGCTTGTGACTACTATTACAAGCCTCTTCCTGACCCGTATATTCACACGAATCAGGTTCAGAGCAATGGACAATATTTAAAGTCGCTCAATCAAAGGTTGAAAGTGTTACAGGAAGAGAAGCAACAATTGGAAAATACTCATGCTCTTTTGGCGAGAACATTTCGTGAAGCCTCCCTTCGAGAGTTGAGAAGATAGTTGCTTAAAGACTTTTAAGATGAAAGAACTCAATGCTGAAACAAAAAGAAGGAAATATATTTTTGTGTTCAGAATCATACTTCATGTGAGCACTTGTTTCAACCTGATTTTGATTGGAGAAATAATGATTGTTTGAAAAGCTGACTCCTTTAGCTTTTTGTGGATATGAATACCTCTCCAACGTTCGAGAGAACTGTTGTTTTATAAAAGTAATTAGTCACATCATGAATCTTATACAACAATTTTTACACTTGAGGCATTTCATATCTCATTTGGAGATTGTGTTGCCAGTCATGATGACAACAACTGCTTTTGTGAACCATTGGATCCCAAAGCTTTTCAAGGAATCCTTTCAAAGAACAAAACTGTGTCCATCTATCAACGTCAAAAGAAAAGGATTCATGAACAAACGCACGTTGGCAACTTTCGATCAAGCTATCACTAGTTCGCAGCTCAAGGTAACCTGGTTAGAAAGCGTACGAGACAGTTTATTTGAATGGGTTTATTTTTAATGGCAATCTATTAGCAGTGGACTTTTCTAGGAACGAAAGGAAAGTGTGATGGTGTTGTGGATAACAAAGGCAGACTCGTGTTGGAGTTTACTCCTGTTGAAGACAGTTTATGTTATAAAGTTCATTATGGACGTTTAGAGCTTCCTTGTTCGTGGCAAACTTCTTCAAAGTATTTAGGGTTTTCGACTTTTTGTTGTTGTGTATATTTCTGTGTTGGTTAGGAGCCACATATGTATCGACAATTGGAAACCAGAAGTTGTTTATCGAGTGCAAATATTTACAATGAAACGGGATGTTACCTCAGAACAACTCATATTTCAAGGAAAACTTTTGTTGAAGCATTCAACAACAACAGTGGCACCGAAAGGCAAGTTTCTCTTTCTTGGCCTCCATTTTTGACAAATGTACTTCAAGTCTCTCTTCAGGATGCCTCGATGTTGGAGATTCGGGTTGGCAAGATACTATCTTGTAAGAAGCATCCAAACGCCGATACACTTCTTGTTGAAGAAATAGATATTGGAGAAGATAATCCTAGAACTATTGTATCGGGACTGGTCAAACATTATGAACCAGAGCAGCTCGTATCAAGGAAAGTCCTTGTCTTGTGCAACCTCAAAGCAAAGAAGATGAGAGGCATAGAAAGTAAAGGCATGTTGCTTTGTGGTTCAACGAAAGATAAAAGCAAAGTGGAGCCTCTTTCACCTCCAGAACATACCCAAGTGTAGGTATTCCTATTTGTGTTTCTAGATGTAGACTTTACACTATATTTTAGTGGAGAGTTGGTTTACTTTGATGGTGTTGAAATGAAACCTACCGAATCAGGCAAACAAGCAACTCAGTCTTTCGAAAGAATTGTTGATTTTCTCAAAACAGATTCTAAAGGAGTTGCATTATTGGAGGTATGTATGTGAAATATTTCGATTAGGATCTAATACGGTTTGAAAACGGACAATAGAGTCGATCTTTGTTGACCAGTCAAGGACCTTGCTTTTGTTCTATAACCAACGGTAATGTTTCCTGATTAAAATGGAATCAATGAGTACCTAGCTGTGCAATGAAAGTTTCCCAAACTTCATGAGGAACTCCAATCTGCCATAGTCTCATCCAAAGCTGTTGCAAGTGAGGAATCGGTAAGGCTGTGAATAGAGCGAATACAACTAGGAACTGCTGTCAAGGCTGCACCATACGCACCCGCAACGCCAAACGTAGTCACAGATAGTATTCCTGCCCAACGAGGAACCATACTTAGTCTGTCAATGTCTAGTCCTTCAGTGAATATTATAATCACCTGATAGGCAATTCAGTCTACTTACNAGCTCTAGCAAAGGCACATAGACTAAGCACAGTACCAAAACCTGCAGCAGCTCGAATACCAGCTGATGTTGCACAGTCTAGAATGGCATCTTTCTCATCAGGGCGAAGGTCTTCCCACTGAAAAGTTTGACCTCGCGCAGTATAGACTGGTCTTCTTACTCTTCTAGGCGAACTTTCCGTAGTTTCTGAGGACTTCGACATCTCTCATTTGTTGAGAGGCTTTTGAGGGGGGAATGGATGACAACCAAGTCATATCCAAGAATGAACTTCAAAGACTAGCAGATGATACACAACTAGAAGAGGAAGTAGTAGAGGTACTTGCAACGATATTCACAAATACAATCTTTTCATATTTTTACTAGTTTCTACAAGAACACGCAGAGACCTTTGTGGAAAGCGTCACCGACTTTGCTTGTACCTTAGCGAAACATCGGAATAGTAACAAGTTAGAAAGTTGTGATATTCAATTAGCTTTGGGTTAGTTTATTGGTTCTTTTCTTACAGTACTTGCAAGTTGAAATGTGTTTCAGAACAGTTATGGGGAATGAGAGTACCTTGTATAGGACAAACAGTTCCTACTTTAAGGAAACCCTCCATTTTACCTGCTCATACTTATCGAATGCAAGTTATTGATAGCGAACAAAACTTAAAAGGAGAAAGAAGGTCGTCTTCTGGTGGCCGAGTATCTGGGAAGATAAAAAAGGCAGACCCTAAGGCCAATAAACCAAATAAGAAGGGAGAAATCAAAGCTTGTAAGAAGGAAGCAAACTCTGAGCAAGTGACTTGATTTGTCATTCGCCTAGTAAGTCGCTGAAACTGCAGAATACTTATTCAAAACTACAAATTGCGAAACTTTACATTCTTTGGAATATGACTGATACTATCGGATATATTGGTAGAGATAAATATGTGATGGCCTTACAAGAAATAAACTCTGTAGTTTTCTACATTTGTAAACAGATGAAAAGTTGCTGTTCTCATAGAACAAACCAATGAATAGCATCGAACTATGATATAAAGTAGTTCTCAGAAATATTTCACGAATGGATTCACACAACTTCCAACTGCTCAATTCTTCACATTATATTCCCATGTTAAAAGTCAAGAAGTATCGAGAGCTGGAAGATATGGGTTCAAAATTTCTCAAATATTCAACAATATTTCCTGTATGTTTTTGAATTCTTCCACTATCTCCACCGTATATAGTTAATCGACCCATTCGTCTTCCATAAAGTAATCGGCTGCAAAATGCAACAATGGATCATCCCTGAAGTAACTTTGCAAAAGACTATTAAGGATAGTCAGTCCAATAATATCAGAAAACTATCCAAAATACTCACCGTGTATCTAAACATACTGAGCCTTGTCCCAAGTTGTGAACATAATCTCGCCATCTCTTTAAAGTCTCCTACAAATAGCGTTAGGATTGGGAAGTTGAACAGTAAATTCATACCTTGACAGTCAAACGTTCCATGTATACCAGCTTTCTCAAAAGGTTCACGCTAGCGATTCTTCCATATATATCCAGATTCGCCTCTTGCAACTCCCTTTCAAAGCAAAAGTCATGGACAACAGCAGCATCTCTCAAAGCGTCAACGACTGAAGAATATGTTTTATCTTCGAGCAAACCACGGCAGCGAAAGAATTCTTCTTCTTCTTCTTCTTCTGAAGATACACTTGCAGCGTCGTTTGCTATTTCAACCGTATCACTTGATCGATCACTATCTTCGATATACCAGGCGTCCAACACTGGGTCAAGTTCGGAAGCATTTTGCAACTCTTCCTGCAGTTGTTTATCTAATTCTTGTTCTGGAAATATTTCTGGATAAATGAATATTTCAGTTTCCTCTTGTTCAAGTGGACGTATAAAAACTTCTTGTGCTTGCTGTTTCTTTTCTTGCTGCATCGACGTATTCCTACACCGAGAATGCCTTGAAGCAACCGGTCTTAATTGATTGATTGGGAAGAAAGTGAATACAGCTGTTTTGAACGTTTCGGAACCGAGTAGGACAGAAAAACTTTAAGATGGACGGCTTTCAAGAAATTGTTTCCCCTTTCTCCAGCTTTATGGTCGACTCCTATCGTCTGGTTCGACGTTGTACGAAGCCCGACCGTCGAGGTAAGGGAGTGGTTGAGACGACGTGAGTGTTACTTAACCTTTCTAGAATTCCTCAAGATTGCCGGCGCAACTGCTGTTGGATTTTTGGTGATGGGCTTTATTGGCTTTTTTGTACGCTTAATACATATACCCGTGAACAACATTCTATTGAGCTGAATGGGCCCAGCGTCAATGGTTTCTTTTGCCATGTGACATCAGTAATAAACTATCACCGTTTCTTGTCTATCTAGTCCTTTTACTATTCGAATCTGTGGGACTTAGAAAAAACAATGCGAATATCCTTTGGCATTCAAATACGACACCGGAAAATTTTCATATGCGTCCCAAAACCTCTGAAAGAAGCTCGTTCTATTGTGCCACCAATTGGTATAGGAACGATTGTTATAGTGTAAAATAGCACAACGCCGATGAGAACAAGAAATAGGCATCTCGTTGGCTGACAAGAATTTTGCAAACCAAGTATAATAGCTATACACACGTTTGTGTGATGGTTCAATGTGTCATTATGAAGAGACAAACTTACCAGTTCCATTCACAACCAATATTCGTTACCTTCTCCGGTATCGATTTGGCAACCAAGTTGAAAATATCTTGATCTGCCGAAATTGCAGTCCAGCCTGGAAAGTCTTCTAATATTTTATTTGTGGATGATGCAACCACATTTATCCAATTTTCCTGTCGCATCTTGCGAGGTCTCATGAGTAAAGTTCCTGACATGCAATGAAGTGTTCCATTCTCAGGAAATATTTCTCTCCACAAGGGGTAAAGCCAAGAATTATCTCGTGACATACAAGGCATCCCAAGATGTACCGATTGTCTCGTAAGTCTCCATCGATGCCATAGTTCCAGAACATCCCTTAAAATGATCATATCAGTGTCCAAAACCAACAAATTATCACTCTGAAGAAACGAAGGAAGAAGTAGTTTCCAAAGAGCTTCTTTTCCATGATAATGAACCGCAGTACGCATTTTCCCTCCAGTCAAGCTATGAAACTGGTCTAGGGCCTTTGAAAGTTTTGAAGATTCGATGTCGTATATATTCCAAACGGCACACGCAGAGTTCCACAACGTATACCAATTTTTGGCAGCATTCAAACCCTTTTTATCGCTAATCAGATGAAAATGAAACTTCACGTTTGGAGATGATGACATAACTAAGGATGAAATCATTCTCTTCATATTAAGAATATCATTTTCTCCAATAGAAACGATAGCTACATCTATTCTGGTTATTTCATAAGGACTCTCCAGTTGAGTTTTTAATTCAAAGGATTGTTTGAGTAGCTGAATAGCTAATGATATACTGCTCAAGAAAATATATGTCAGAAACAATTTCAAGGCAAGGTTGAATAGGCGACCGTTAGTATGATGCTTCTTGATAAAGTTGAACAGTGAATGTTGTATAGCTTTTGATTGAAACAGAAAGCTCCGATACTTTGTTTGGAAAGCATTCATATCCACAATGACAAAACAACTAAAATTTAAAAAGGAATGCAGTCATTGTCATAGCATTTTTCTTCGACATTTTTCTTTTAAGATTGCTCGTTTCTATAAGTGATGATGAGGTTGCGCAATGGAATCAGTTTCTCTACAATGCAATAAAGCTATTTTGAGGAGAGATGTCTTAGTTTCTCGTTGTTGGCTTCTTTAAAAATCTTCTCCAAATTTGGGAGTACAGAAGCAAGCGAAATTCTTTATAGGTTTCCATTGAAACAAAAATGTATCGAGAAAAAGAGCAAAGCAATCTATTGTACTAGGCAGAACATATTGATATTGGTTTTATTGCAAAGTATTCTCCACTATCAGTTCTACTTTTACTACAACTTCGTCTTAATTTTTGAAGAGAAACCTTCCTCTTCTTGTTTTACACCATGTTCTACTCAATCACAGTTCACTGAGATGGTTGGAAATCCAACTTTTTTTCTCGTCGTTGTAACTTTTTAGAAACGTGTCTAGATAGTTTCTTTCACTAGTATACCAGTATTATCTGCAATTTAAATCAAAACAATGCTATTCACTTTAAACTTGAAACAGTTCACACGGATATTTTGAGAACAGAACCATTTCAGTTAGGTGTCAGAGAAAGGCAATTCTCCTGACTCAACATTTGGCAATCTTAGCATAGCAACTAAAAACAACGTAGGAAAATGCTCCTGATAAACTACTACATCTATATGCTCCAGAGGCATCCATATACCAGGCAAAAGATTGCTTTTAAAGAAAATTTTCAAATGAAACGTTCAAAGATAATTCGGGGCCAGAGACACGACTACGTGAGGTTCGGGGAGATTATCAAACTCCCCCATTGATTGGCCATATTGCTCGATCATTGCTTGTTGGAGGCGGTAATGGAAAGCTATTCTTTTATCAACACCTTTAGATGTCAAGCAACATGGAACTATCAGAAAATTAACCAACGCAACAAGGATGTTTCTCAGAAACCAAAATATCCCTTATCTATTTTGTCAAAAGCTTCACCTACCCTTCGAAGTCTATTTCAGCTGAAGTATAGGATGGAAGAAAGAAATCCTGTAGACAATGTGTTCTTCCCAGAACTTTTCAACTCTAGCCTAAAATTTTGTCGACGCTGTGGAAAGGCCTTCATAACAGTGAGTAACTTTCACTTGTAGTGAATAGTGGTTGAATGGTTGTCTAGTCTTGTCCGGGTTTGCATAGTTCATCGGCAAAGAGGAAAACTAGTATGTATTCGATAAACTTTCTGTCCACAGATATTGTAGCTAGTGCGCGAGATAGACATTATTTGATGCATAACCGATTGTAAAGATTATATTTCAATGCTTTTTGCGTATCGTAACTCTTTTTTATGTTTCACTTTCACTGTGCTCATCACACTAACATTTGAAAATACTACCTTCATTTCTTTGAAGTTGAAGCTTCGCAAGGAATTTTTTATATCAAATATATTGAGATAGGATGGAAAGTTTCTTACTCGTATGGAACCTTCCCTTTTTGTCACCCAAAATAAACTGTCACCATTGTGTCGATGGGTCATAAACAGTTGGTATGGATACAAAAGCTCGTCGACGCTTATATCAAAGGAGACTGCAAGTATGAATTTTCGAGCCAACAATAGTGTGAATCAGAGTTCCATCAAACTAAGTTTGCAAAGTGTTCGGTTCCAAACTTATTTCAAGCCGATAGTGTGCATATGACTCTTGTCTTTCGTGACAAAAGATTAGTTACCATTTTTACCAACAGAAGAAACGCCAGACTCGTCTTGAATCAGACTTGAATAACTTCTTCTTACAACTGCAGTTGATTCTAGGTATGGAGGAGATTTTTACATATACTTATACCCTTTACTATTGCAATAATTTCCAGCTTCTTACAGGAAACTGTTAAAGAATGGAAGTGAAGGACTGTTCCACAGCTGTCAGGGAAAACCAATTGGTTGCCAATCTTTCCTCCAACTTGCCTTATTTGCAGATTTTTTCATGTCATTTATTACAAACCCAAGTATTTTCAGTGGCCTTAAACTGTCAAATGCTCAGAGAAAAGTCAAATCTGACCTAGAATGTATAAGAAAATCGAAACTATTCCAAAGAAAACGGATAGTTCCTGAGAGGAGAAGGTTGGGACTTGTCGCCTGTGGGACTGAAGAAGATCGCACTCATCAACGTTCCCAGTGGGGAGGTGAAGACTCAGACTATTTCGGAAGGGATCCACGAAAGGAAACAGAGTTCTGGATGGAGCACGCAAAGGAAGTGTTGGAAAGCAAGGAGGTTGCCGATGCTGTAGAAGCACATAAAAAGAGTGGAAGTTCAAATCTGACTGAGGAACAGAAGGCCTGGTTAGAGTTTGCAAGAAGCATTACGCCTAAACCTGAAGACGAAGAATAAGAAGGTTATAACTCTGAATTGATAAGGGAAGTGGGATGAGTCTATTAAAAGCTGTAAATTGGTATTTTCTAATACTGCAAAGAGAATTGGGTAACAAGTTGGGTTCAGCTTGATAAAATGTATCGTCGTTGTTTCGTTTGCTTGATTATTTTTTCACGTACTACAACAAACAACTATTCCATTCTTTTCTTGTTGCGCAAGTAAGTGGCTGCAAGTTCGAAACGTTCCATACGAACGTTCAACAGAGCGTTGATCTTTGGAAGAAGATATTGGTGAGTAACTGTCCCACTTAAATTCTGATGAGCCACCGAAAGACCACTCAGCGCATAGCATGTATGATACAAATCTCTTGGCTTGCCAGGTTTATCGCGGAAACCACCGCCACGACACTGGCAATATCGCAACAAATAGCGTTCCAAGTCTTCTCCCGAAAACCTGAATGATGTATTACGCTTCTGATACTTTCTTGTCCAAAATTCTAATAACGTTAGAAGGCCACCTTGCCAAAATGAGTAACAACTATCCACTAACTTATTCACACGACCTTGGAAGCCTCCTTCTAACGGGAGTTGCCTATTTATAACCCAAAACTGTAACTTCTTGATATCCAATGAATGAGGCACACACTTGGATTCAGTCTGTTGCCAGTATTCATCCAAAATACAAAGTGCTGCAAACCCACAATAAGAATAGCCACCATGACCTTCATTAAAAGGTTCTCCTCCTAAGCCGCCATCAAAACTCTTGATGATGTCAAACCAAATAAAAATAAAAGAAGTAAAGACTAACCTGAAGGCGGGATATGTACGTGGAGCAGTTCTCAACAAGCTCAGAAGTTAACAAACCACATATGTGTGCCACGGCTAGAGCACAATAAAGACCACGTACATCAGATTCGCCTAGTTCAGTAACACGAAAACTACCGTCACTATTCTTCAAAGTGAGCAACCACATATAAAGTTTATCTAAGTGAATGACATCAAAAGCTTCTGGTGTTCCCAATATGCAAAGAGCACAAACAGCAGCGTATGTTGTCGCAAGATGGGCTACTTGACCATAACCACCTCCAAACCCGCCATTAGGAGATTGACAACGACTTAAGTGCTCTAGAATGCCAATCTTTTCTTCTTCTGTAGGCTCATCTTCCAATAGATCTAGAGCATGTAAAATCCAGTAACACAGCCATGGTTGACTGGCATCTAACGCTTGGTATGAAGTAGGCAGTTGCTTCAACGATTGATGAAGATATTCTTTGTGTTCTTCTTTGTTCAGCCTGGGAAGAAACATCACTCAGAGGCTATCCAACGGATAGTCAAAACGAAACAAACCTGTCCTCGCCCCGCAGAGGTTCCTGTTCTATCTTTAAAATGCTTCGCTCTACTTGTCTCTGTACAAGGTAAGTTTCGGTAGGATATGTTTGCTCGTTTTGCAAATAAAGACTTTTCAAGTCGCGAAACATCTTTGCAGACTTCGTAACTCAACACTGTTGAAATTCATCCATTCTGTTGAAAAGTTAATGATGTACTCGAGATTCTCATTTCTGGAAAATGGAAGCAAATGACGAAGCTTGTGCTTTTTTAACGTCATGATAAGCTACAAAGAATTCGAAAAGTTTTTCGGCTGAGCATTGTTTGGTCCTTTTGTGTAACTTAAGTCGAAAACAAACTCTCAAGTCATCAGCACCCTTGTTAAAAGAGTTTTGCTTCCCAGCACCTATGGAAGTAAGTGGAAAGTGTAAGATTGAGTCAGTTTCGCTCGGATTGTCAGTACTTCATCAATTGAATTGTGTAACAAACCACTCTCGAAGGAGACATCTCTGGGTTGCCACCAGTATTCGAAGGAGATCCTTCAGGTCAACTGTTTCATGGCATACGCTGTATGATAACTTTTGAAGTTCACAGGCACTTGAAGAATAGCAAATAACAAATTTTTTATAAGATGAGCCTGTAGAAATGACTCTGGCCCAACCATACACACAATAAGCTTAAGAGCAAACAACAAACATAACTAAGATATATTGACGTTGGCTTGTTGATTAATTTCAACCTTATCATAGTTTCCAGAACCTTGCTTGGTAGTGGGAGTCGATGTTGTGGTTGGCACCTTGGGAGAAGGAGTTGGCGTCTGTTTGGGCACACTAGAAGTTGGAGTTGGTGTCGGAGAACTTGAAACTTCTTTCAAAGTTAGCTGCGCACTGATAAGGGCCCCATCATTACTATCAGTGCCCTGAAAGCATACACCACTTTCAATAGCTCCCTCACAAGTCGAACATGTGCTATCTTCACAAATCTGTCCAGCCAAAGAACTACCATCCGGCAAGATCTGAACCCACACCTCGTTCTCTAACCCAACACAATTGACAGAGCTTTGGTTAGATAAGGTTTCACTTGGAGCTCCTGAACAATTTGTATTTTGAAACCAATAAGATACTTCTACTTCATATAGAGTAGCATTTATAACTTGTGCCATCATCAAGAAACATAAGAGAGATATGAGAAATGATTTCATTAGTAGATGCTTAGCCTGCACGGAACGAACTCGCAGCCTCAATGAACAGAAAACAGAATAATGAATACGCTTTTCGAGAATATCCCTGGACTTTTATAGACTTAACTGTGCGAATATTTCAACAAATCGCAAACCGATTAACTAAGTCCTCTTAGCTAATGAAAAAGCGCAGGGGCATGACAAATGATTTTGAATTGTTTTCATGTCTTCGCAAGCTGGTCTGATATCATTATGCTCTCTTCTATGATAAATGACTTGCCTCTAGTTCCGTATGGCCTAAAACTTATTTGGGAATACTATTGGTTTCTCTTTGTCCCTATAAAGCCCCCTCCTCAAACCAGCTTTAGTGAAGCGTTTGCAACGGAAACTGTAGCGTAATGGATTGAGAATATGCTCATTTTTAGTTGTTTAGAGGGATACTTTCTTCTCACATAGTTAGTATTGTGTTTTATAAGTATTGATTCTGAGGACACAAAGTTGATGTAATTTAGATAAATAGAAATCACAGCATGGCTCCTCGAAAATATAGAAACCTATTCGCCTTCAAGAGAGTCTTCCTGGTATATGTTTCTGCCTTCATTTTTTCCAACATTTTATACTTGTAAAAAGATTAATCACCCCTAGCCTTAGTTTGATGAGCTCGTACAAGATACAAGTTTGGTGATTTCATAAGAAACTGCCATTGCAATAAACTCGTTCCTTCTATTTCACTAAATGCTTTAAAACATTCGTTGTACAATTTTTTCTCATCAGTACATTCTTAAGCATCAGCATTTCCAAAAATGTCAAAGAAGCGAATCGTACTTCCTATTTTCGGGAAAGGATTATCTGTTTGAAACTTTGAACACAGTCAGATAGCAAAGAATGTCTTGCTAGACGGGAGCATCGGGATTCAGAACATTCAAAGAAATAAACGTGGGGCGCTATCTAAAGATGAAGGTTCAGTTCTCTCTGTTCCAAGCGAAAAATGGCAATCGTTTTGAATGCTATAGAAAGTATTTGCAACGTATCCAGAGAGAACAAAAGTGAGGGCTATCACGTTCTTTTCATATGCTCTAAAGACAAAAGGACTAGTAAAATCTTGTATAAAACCTTTTAAGCATTACACCAAAAGTTGTTTCAAGTCCTGTTCTACAGATGAGCTAGTAAGGACTTCTTTAAGGCTAGTCCGAATAAACAATCGTACCCAAAGCAAACAATTTTGAATTTGAAAAATTTGATTGCCATACATGTCCTCGAGCCCTCCAATTGTAAGGTATCTGCAGTTTGAAAACGAGGACTCTGAGACAGAAATACACGACTCAAAAAATAATGAAAACCTAAATACAACTAATTCCGAGCGAATAAAAGTTTTCCTGAGGCTGCGCCCCTTTACCGTGGATGAAATAGCTAGAGGAGAAAAAAGCGCAGTTCTTCAAGTGAAGGAAAATAGAATATCCATAAGACCGCGCAACAGAACCTATATGTCTTCTGAGGTATTAACAATTTTTGAATAAAACTTTAAAGCAACACTTATACTAAGCCAGGTTCAAACAGCAAATGAGGCCACATTCGAGTTTGACGAAATCTTTCAAGATACTATACCTCAAAGCGCAGTGTTCAAAAAGGTTGCGATTCCGTTTATTAGAAAACTTTTCAGTGGTCAAAACTCAATGATTTTGGCATATGGTATAACGAATGCCGGAAAAACACACACAATTTTGGTAAGCCCTGCTGCTTTGTTATGAAGTAGAGTTATAATTCTCATTGAAGGGAACTGAAGCAGAGCCCGGTCTGATTCCACGGTCAATCGACGCAATATTTTATTCACTAAAAGATAAGATCATACAAAGCCCAAGGAGGGATGAAAAGGAGAGCGCGAAGTATTTGATAGAATGTTGCAGAAGCGTTTTGTTCAATGCAAAAGATGAAAATTGGAACTCATTCACCGGTATGTTATCTGTAAAAACTCCAATTCCTTTGTTAAATTTGTTTTGCAGACAGCTTCTCTGATCCAGTGACAGGAGTTCCAGGTCTGTTCACTGACGAAAAGGAAAACAACATATCTCTCCTCTCTGGTAATGAATCTCTTCTATTCCAGGTTGCCGTCTCCTATTTTGAAATATATAATGATCGTTGTTACGATCTTTTCGACGTCGACACATTATTAGAAGCTCAAAAAATTCTAAAGCGTGGTCAGAAATCAACAACAAAGTATAGACGACAAGGGCTGAAACTGAAGGAAGTTCAGAATGGAAAGATTAAAATCGAAGGATTGCATGAGATTGAGGTAAGGTTTATCAAATGACAGAAACCTATCCGTATAATTCAATCATCTTCTGCAGGTTTCCAGCTCGAGTGAGGTTCACAGACTTCTTCAGTGTGGCCTTAAGAATAGACAGATTGCGGAAACTTTATGCAACCGTCATTCTTCTCGAAGCCACACCGTCTTTAATGTCAACTTGAAAGCCCTTCAAAAAGTCTCAAAGAAGGAATACCGTCTAGATTTTCAGTCTACCCTCTCTTTTGTTGATCTAGCTGGTTCAGAGAGAACAACGAAAACAAATGTTAGTGGTGAACGGCTGAAGGAGACGGCACAAATAAACAAGTCACTTATGAACCTTGGTCAGTGTTTGGAGGCGTTGCGGCGTAATCAAAGGCAAGCATGAGATATCTTTACTTGATTGTTTTTCATTAAGAAAATCAATAGGATCAGGGAATCGAAAGATGAGGAGAATCCAAAGAGGAAACTGCTTCTGGTTCCATATCGTCAGAGCAAACTGACACTACTCTTTCGAGATTTTCTACAAAACGGAAGTACTGTAATGATAGCGGCGTGTTCTCCTGCTTCTTCAGATGCCGATGAAACTATCCATGCGTTGAGGACAGCTTCGTTTGCCAAAGAGCTTAAGTATAGTCATATTCAGGTTTACGGAAATCCCAATTTGTTTTCGAACCAAACGAAGCACCTCAACGAACTGCGGCATACTACAACAGAGCGAAATCAGTCTGATGATGATACTGCAAAGTTGATGGTTAATGATGAGCGTTTTCAAGATTTTGATGAACTCTTATTAGAGATTGAGTCATTACGTGAAAGATTAGCCTTTGCAGAAAGCAGAGCTCTAATAATTGAGAGTGAGATCCGCGATGAAGTTGCGAGAGAAATGGAAGAAGCATTGCACAAAATGGAAAAGCAATTCCGAGTTAAGCTGGAAGAGGCTACTCAATTTCATGAAGAACGACTTGAGAAACGAGTCCATTTGATCACTACGACGGCCAGAAAGGAGTTAGGATATGGCGCTGCTCATCGTGCAGCCGAACATGCTATGTTGAATTATTACAAAGACAAGTGGGAGGCAGAGAGATCTCTTCATGAATTCGAACTGTCCCAGTTAAAGCAGAAACTGCGTGAAAGAAATTTAGAGAGAGACCAGTTAAAAGAACTTCTTTCAGACAGGACTACTACTAATGAAAAAGTTTCGCGGCAAAATGTGTTTACCCAAACTGAGGATTTTGCTGAGCCACAGAAACAAATCTCGAAAAAATTAGACAACAGAAATGAGTTGAGTAATTTATTAGAAAACTTTGTGGAAACCGTAAAGAGATTCACTCAGCATCTATTCGGTGAAGATACGTGGCAGCAAATTGAGAACAGTTACTTGGTCTCTATGATAGAGGAACTTGCACAAGAAGAATGTGAGATCGGACAAATTCGTATGATAGACTACTTGAACAGAATGTTTCAGTTTCTAAATGTTTCTGCAAAACAAGATATTATAAGGCGTCATGGTATTGATCCAACGAACCATGAAAGTTTGCCAGATATGAACCAAAATAAGCGTCGAAGAGAAAGAAGAAAGAAGCAAACGGAAATTAGCAACGAATCTTATCAAGTCAATACTAAAAATGACAGCATTGAAGCTACTGACTGTTCTGATGGCTTTGACAATAGTACATCTTTTCTATCAACAACGACACCTGACAAAGTAATAAAAAAGAGTCGCCGTTCGAGAAAGACAAAGAAGTAACCAGGATTTCAAACCAGTGCTCTTAATTGTCTTCTATGTATAGGTCACTTTCCGTAAAGGCTAGCTTCTTCTCTTTGCATCTTTTTCGCAAATCTTAAGTAAAGAACTTCACGGCCTCTTATTTCCTATCGAGGGCTTGTATCAATTTGTCATCATAAGCAAGATTTCTCATACTTGGAAAGAAAGATCAAGTTGCCGTTAATATCGAATACTTTTTGTAATTGCCATCATTTCTTCGAAGGATTTTGGCTTAAGTATCGACAAATACTCCAAAAATTTGGTATCTCACACTGCAACTGTTGAATAGTCCATTTAAAAAAGTCTAAAGGTCGTATTTAGACAACTGATTTTCTCTTGACAAAGATGCCTATATTATATATTTAATGGCAAGCCGTTATTTTGTCTACTAATGAGCCAAAACCATTTTTCTCATCGAAGTGATACGTTGCAAATCTTATTTTCATTAGTAAATGATAGATCATCCTTTTTCATCATTAACACTTTACTATACTGTCTAGTGACGCTTTTAACCTAACTCTTGGATGTCGAACATCGAAAATTTGTTTTTTGTCCTGAAAATTTCAAAAGTAGAAAAGAAATCAGACAGAAAGTTGCTTTGAGTCGATGAAACTGATGGCTTCCTCGATGAACCTTGTTTATGGAAAAAGAGATATTTTTGACACAAGTGAAACTTCATAACATGGTACGACTTTAGAGGTTGAAATTTTATCAATTTCCCAGGCGACCAGGCTTGAATTAGACGGATTGATGCCAGGTTCTTCAATGCTTTCGATGTAAATTTGGTTTTTCACTGACTGCCATTCTTCACATAATGCCTTCAAGGTCTTCAAATCCAGCAGTTTGGTTGCAGTCATTATTCCATGATGGTATTTTTCAATAATTTTACGGATGCATAATAGGAAAAATGGGTGAAAGGATACACCAGCGAATACATTATCCCCTTTTGAGTCATTATTCTGAAAGTTTTCAGATATTGCCAGCATGACACACTTGTTTTCTAGAATAGAATCTAAGTAGTGAGTACCGATCAGTTCATTTTCTACATAAACTCCACCATAAGCATACAGAAACAAGAATTTGTTGAGCTCCTCTCGGAGGTGGTCAGATGGCATACCGTCGTAGATATCCAAGAGCCAGGCAAAATTTCTTGTTAAGAGTTTCCTAGCGTCCTCTTTTGTCCACCAAGCGTATTTCCAATCTGAACCCAATGAGCCGTGGTAACTGCTAGAAGAAGTGTCGCTTCTATTTTGAACAGAGACACTTTTGTGAATTATTCTTGGTATGATAAAGTTGTCTCTCTTCCCTCTGAATCTGGAATATATCTTCTTCGAATTTCCAGTAAGCAGTAAGAGAAGCACAAAACACAAACATATCAAAGTGAATACACGACTGACAGTGTCTCGTCGTTTCGCCTTGTTATATCTTTCCATTCCAAACAATCCACCTAATTCAAATGTCAGGGCTCTTCTCGGGGGAGAATGGGAGTTTTCTGATACACGTGACCACTTCCTTATTTGCTCTTTTATAACTATTCATTCCATAACCAAAGGAAATTTCTATAAATACATGGTAAATTTCCAATTTCTGAGGTTCCTGCTTGCTTTATATGAGACAAAGACCTTCCAAAGCCATTGGTTTCGGTTTCAGTAGGATAAAAAGTTACTGCGTACTAACAAAATGCCTCAACGCAAGGACTTTATGAAAGACAAATTAATATTATTTTCATCATCTCAATAACATTCCATGATATCCTGGTTCATAGAGTTGCCATTCAGGCAAATCCTCGTTCCAAAGATACCTAGTGATTTTCCCAAGCTTTTCGCATAATTAGAATCAAATGACCGAAAAGTTTCTTCTTCCAAAACTGTCCTAGTTATAGTAAGCAAAAAGGACTAGAAAATAGAAATTATTACGAGATGCACATGTTACAGAAACCATTATCATTTAGAACAAAAGCTAGAAGAAGGAATAGCTGCTTCAGTTTGAGAAATAACTGTCGCTAAGAAACAGACTCATGGCAGGAATCCTTTCAGATGCAGATGAGGTGGCTGGCACTTCTAAAAGCTTTGGTCAGTAGCTTTTAAATGAATCTGCTCTTGAAGAATTCCATATCATTTTTAGAACGAATGGGGAGTAAGAAAATCAGCACAGTGGCACCAGCTGGTGTCATTTAGATTTCTGGAGACTTTTCAGAGCAGCTTTGTACTCATATCAATATGCATGGAATGCATTTGAAACCCTAAATAGTTCGTAAAACTTGTCTACGTTGCTCGCTTATGCACAAGAATTGGAGACTTTTCGACTTGTGCAACACTTGTTGCCGTCCAAGTTATTCCAATCGTGATCAATAGACTTTTAGAAGCTATGTCCATAAGTACGACTATTTTTTACACTTGATTGTATAAATGGAGCCATAGTTATAGATCACAAGGTTTTAGATTACTAGGAGATTTATCTTGTTAGAACCAAAAGATCCTTTGATTGTCCTACAACAGTCATCTCTATCAAAGTGTCTTCGTTTGAACGAAGATGAACTTCATTCAGAATGATAAATTCCTTTCATAATATAAGTAGCTGATTCAGAATCAAAAGTGACTCATAGCTGTGGCTTTTGTTAGAGTATTCAAATAAAGAATTGTCCCTGCTAGAAGATAGAATCGAATAAAATTTTGTTACACCAGCCCTTAAGGACAAGACATTGAGACTTTTTAAGCAAAGTTGATTTCTTATGTATGAAGCGTTTCAAGAAGTAAAGTGTCTAATGGCGAATGTATTATCTTCGCTCGGAGAGATTCGGTCTTCATTCAGAGTCAGTGCCTAAAAATAAATAGTTTTCCTGAAACAAAGTAAGAATATCCCAGAAAGATGTTCTTGTTTCAAGTCATGTTAAGCACCAACGAACTACCAAAGAAGAATCTGACTACTGGTTGTCTTTAAAAACAGAATTGCCTTTGTATAACTCCTACACTGTACGTGGCAAGAGAATTCCCAATTAAACTCTCGGTTGTCAACGTTTAACTGTCGTTTCCAAGCTGGACGTGTTCCTACAACCACCTGAACTATATTAAAACCCCAAACAGAAAATCAGTAGGGTTTTAAGGGACAATCACCTTAAACTGTGGATTTCTTGAACCATTTGAAGGCTTCATAGTTTACTACGCAAATACATTAAAGAAATATGGTTGTCCAAAATGAAAAGCAACCATTCCAGCTTTATCCCGTTTTCTCGAATACAATAACAGCAGCAGCCTCTTCTTCTAAATCGAACCTTTTTCTTTTTTTAAAACTTAAGAATATTTTCACTTTTGTGTTGCCTCTTGATGTTTTCTCCTGGACTAGTTTCTTATCCACATTCGATCTTCAACTTTCACCAAACAAACATGATTTGATGATAACGTTCAATCGTCGCTCCACTGAAGGATGAACTAAACTATGAAGACGGAAGATATCTAGAGAAGTCGATAAAAATACTCAATCGTTAAAAGTTCAATTGAGCTTAAATCTTGCCTTTTCCTTTACAAGTAGGAAAAACTTCGAACGAATACTGATTTTGGTTAGATCTTCGCTCAGCATATAAAGTTTGTTATAAGTCCAGAGTGCAGCAAAAAAAAGAGTTAGGGAGCTAGGCACAGCTCAAAGTGAAGTGGGCTGAAGGATTCTGAAGGTTGTAGCAGTCAATCCCTGCTGAAACAGTTACTGTGCCGTTGACAGAAAGAGGAAGGAAGAGAAACATTTGATCGTGTAAAGAAGCTAATTCGCCCATAGTTTTAGATGATCCTTCACAAGCCCGGTATGGGAAACTATTGCAAAGAACGCGCAACCTTTATAAGTATAGCTTCACAAGGTCTTTTATATTTTGGTAGTTCCCCGGCTGCTCTATCCCGGGGATGATGTTCTTGAGACAGACGGAAAAGAAACTTTATCCGAAAGGATAGCGCTGGAGAGCTTAGTTCGCCATTTGAAGAATCTCTGTTGTATTGGCTTGCTATGTCCTTTGCTGTTTCTTTATTTTGTTCATTTTTCTAAGCAACTTTACGGCAGCTCCATATTTTCAACTTCTCTATACAATGGCGAAGAATATTGCAATCGTTTTCTCTGTTGATGGTTTGAAGCGCTGATATCTCCTTCCACTCGCTCGAAAAACTTTTCCTGTCTGCTCCGTTTGTCTAAACCAACTTATAGTGACTTCCAGGCGTTGCTTACATATTCTTTCAAGTACCTTTAAGGACAATTTCCGGTATCTACGAAGCTTGTAAGAGACGTCTCGAAACGGAGAAATCAAGCCAAACAGGGTAAAGAAGGAGTTTAGCAATATTGGGTCGTTTCGCTTCTTTTCGGCTCTCTGACTGCAGCTTTTATAGGATGAAAAAACAACATTTCAGCTGTTCTGCTACCACTGTTTCTTTAAAATAACTTCCTGTACAACCAGCTTAAAGCTTGGATTTCTTGTGACTTTATCTTCTCGTCTACTGATATTACAACGGATTCCAGACGATCTGGTTTGAAGTATTCCCGAGACAATCCATATTATGGGTTATAAACCTTCCGTAACCTTTGACACTTCCAACGGTTTTGAAGTCTTTGGAAGATGCGACATAATCCAAACTTCGGCAACTGTCACTTCGATTGCTCGCACTTTTCGCTTCTTTCGTTGAAAGGCCGTTTTTCGGATACTTATTTACAAGTTCCACAATCTTCCCATAGAAAAAATAACCAACTACTTTGTAATCCTTGAAGTCTTGACGGAAAGTGTACAGTGTTGCGATATCACCTTTGGAGATGCCGCGTGATTACAAGCACCGAAATGCTTTTTTCCATATGATACTGAATAGTTACTTTGAAGAAAAGGGTGTTCTTAAGAGTTGGTGCCCGTTATGGTGTTCGAGTAATGAATAGATCCATGTCTTAAGTGTAAATCAAACAGTACATATTTAATGGAAGAACAACAAGTATCATGAAAACAAGACATTACGAATTACTAATATATGCTTCTTGTTGCAAATGTATTTTTTCTTGATTGTGGCATTCTTCTATACGTTGCCATTTCCTCAGAATATTTCTGTCTCAAGGCAACACCTTCTTTTCCACGGGTAGGACAGAAACTTTGTTGCACCTGCACGTGTCTTGGAGAGAGCATTGCTGGATCAATTGAATAGTATACAGACGAAGAGAATGATGAAACGCTTGCTTTCCCCTGAAGGCAGCTGTGATAAGCCTCCATACATTGACCATGTTATTTTTCTTAGAAGCTAGTTCTTCATCTGTTATTTGCATTCGAAGAGCCAATCGAGCTGCATATCTACGACGTAGTTCATTATACCGCGAATCTTCTCCAATCAATGATCTTCTGGAGTATTCTGGAACAAATATTATACAAATAGTCAATCCGACAAATGCTAAGCCAGCACTGAACCACATAGTTCCACGGACTCCTGAAACATTTTCAACTCTTCCTCCAAACAGTTTCCATATTTGCGGAAATATAGTTGTACCCACAATTCCGCCTATCTTTCCGAGAAAAGAGCAAAAACCAGACATAGTAGCGCGTACTCTGGTTGGAAAGGCTTCTGCAGGAATCAAATATACAGGAACGAAAATGAAATATTGAAAGGAATCTGAGAATGTTCCCAAATGATATAAGCTACGGGATGAGCCTTCAGTTCCAAAAAAAAAGCCTGCAGTAATCAGACCTGTGCCTCCTAACCACAACCATTCAAGTGCTTGTGTCTTCCTCCTACCTAAGCGATCTACTACGAAAGAAACCATATAGGGTACCTAATAGCCCATGCTACTCCTTCTGCAAGGGACAACCAGACAGCTTTGAACAAGGAGACTCCTAAAACGGATTGCAGAACAAGATTGCCAAAAGTTCCTCCTGAATAGTGTAGCCAATCGATAAGGAACCACATAGTAATACAGCCGATGCTCCTGAATGCAAAATGGCGTATAAAAAGAAAAAAATCTAAACCGTCGAAACGACTCTTGTGACAGTCTCTGTCTTGAAGATACATTTGTGAGTCTTTCATCGAGTGCGATAGATAAGAACGACAAGGACTGGAAGAGTTGTTACAGCGACTGAAACTCGTGTGACTACTTGATACTTGCAACCAGAAGACAAACCATCGACATAAGCATTGCGACAAGCTGTTGCAATAATGATGAGTTGTGGAATAAAAGGTGCGTAATTTCCAACTACTTCCATTCCCATCACCAGTCTGGTGACTCTTCCTCCTCTTTTGTTGGTATCAACTTCTTCACTATCTTCCATCACGTTTGGAACGTTACAAGTATACTCTCCTCCCATACCTAGGCCTCCAACGGCCAAGACCTATGCACATCATCCACAAGGCGCCATTCATGTCTGTACCATTGTAGGCTACTCCCATACTGTTTCCAAGAAGAACCAAGCAAGAGCAAGTAATGAGCCCTCTTTTCCTTCCGAAATAGTCTGCAATGAATCCAAACATGAGCAAACCAAAAATAACTCCGTAAAGCATGGATACACCAATTACCGTCTGTAGAAATACATCGGACTAAAAGCTAGGAAATAGGTCCGTATACATGGTGAGTAAATTGCCAGCCACGTCATACTTGTAACCATTTATAAAAAAACCTATAGCAGTGCCCAGGGCATTGTATTTGACATAGGAAGGTATGGACCTTGAAGAAGAACCCTTTTTCTCTTCATCTGCTTTAATGCTCGGTTCCTCTAACGAGGCTCTTTGGATAGCTGCTGAACCAATATTAACTACCGCAACGCTACCAGCACCAGTAATAGACATGATATGTACAGTGAGGTGAGAGAAGAGACGTTTGCTTCCTTTTATGACATATACTTTCCCATGTCTACATAGACGCCAACATTCTTTCATGGGACTCCCAACCAAAGTTAATTGTTCCAGAAGACTGTCCAATGTACAGCCACTGAAGTGAAACTATTCTGAATATATAATTGGCTACTGAAGTAGCGATCCTCTTATGCTCCATTGGAGTTTTCAGTTATCTAATAGACAAAGAGGCATAGTTAAACCGTTCTAAATCACAGTTTTTTGAAAACTTGTTGAAGGCGACCACTATCCGAAGAAGTAGATAAGGACAACATAATCTATGAAGAGATGAAAAGCTCCAGTCTACAAATCTTTTTTCTTACGAAACTCGCTTTTGCCAAGAATAGAAAAACATTAAAGACGAGCTTCCCGAGACTCATTGCTGGTTTATGAGACATAGAACGTTTTCATCTATTCACATTGAATACTCTCATAGATATCTTTTACAAGTTCAGGAAGAGATGGCTGCTTATTGTGGCATGCAACGTTGTTAGCTTTTATTGTGTGAAAACACAAGCGGTTTGTATAGTGTATTTGGAAAGGTGATGGTCATAGCTAGTGTTGTCGTTGATGATTTTTGAAAACTCATCTCATAACCAACAACTACAGTATAGTTCAAATATTAAGAATGATCAAAGAAACTAATTGCTGCAAGCAAATACAAGTCTGTTAGGTTATATCCCATACCTCTCATAAGCACAGGAAAGGCGTATGAGATTCAACTTATCTGTGCCTTTATACCACTAGTGTCCATTCGAGTTTGTTCGTAACTCCAGAACACTTTAGATAAGAAGCGTTCTTCATTCAGAATTGCTAAAGCATTGGCAAACCATGGAATAGCCAACACAATCGATCTAAAAGCCATCTTTCCTCCTCTTCCTTTTACGTTTGGGAGTGATGATCGCTTTCTTCTCACATGAAATGAAACATTTTCTTGGAACAAAACTCAACCTCAAAGTTCCTAGAATGATTGCTGTATATTTGGATAGAGTGATCCGTAAAACGTGTTTTTTCATTTCTTGTATGTCAGAAACCAACGCTATTACTTGAAATAGAAAGGGAAATAATACCTAAGACAGTGGCTATCATATGGTAACGAAAAGAGATGAGCGATAGTGCAGTCAAACAATTATGGATAAAATATGGAATAGGGGATAACCTTTGTATCATAAATAAGAATAAACCCTAAATAATACATTGCCGTTTTACCTAGAAAACAATGCCAGTTTCAACCTTGTTGAGCCATACAAGACATCTATTTCTATACTTGTTGATATTGTTCAAGTCTCTTTTGAGTCCATCAATATAAAATACCTTTGGCTGGTAAAAAGGATTCAAGGATAACCCTGCTGCCATCTCTATAGCAACTCTACCAAGAAAATAACCAAACGACAGTCAGGGAATGTAGTCAAAAGAAAATGAAAATAACAAAACGCACGGGTAAATGAAGTGACTTAAGCCACTGCAAATTATCTTTCATATCCAACCTATCATAATGTTCAGAATCTACAAGGCCTTTTCAAACTTTTAAGTTGCAGATTCCAGATATATAAAGGCTATGTCAAATGCAGGTTGGTTGGAACAACGAAAACTTTAATCATTGGAAAATTAGGGAGTTGAAGGATTTGAATCTTGTTCAACATCTGGACTATTTGTGTAAAGAACTACAACAACAAAGTAAAGCTGAAGTAGAAATTTAGGAAAAACAACGACATAATGGATTAAAAGGCAATGACGAAGGTGATAAAGTAGCAACTCTAGGCACTCATCAAAGGAGGCAAGTCGACATAATGTTTAAATGTTATATCTTTTGACGTGTCAACATACCAAGTAACCAATTCTTTCTACCAGAACG